CTGAGACGAGGGCGTCCCATGCCTCCTTGGCATAGTTGGTGTCCAGGACGTGGACGAGTAAGGTTGGGTCTAGCGTGGTGTGAGAGGATCACATACTTTATCGTTTGCTTGCATAAAATCAAAATCGCCTTTTTCACCCCGTGATTTCTAGGAGAACGGCTATAGATAGGACAATCCTGACAATTCTGACAATTCTGACACCACCATCGTGCTTAGCGCTGAAAGTTTACGGGTGGGGTGGGATCTTGGCCCTTGGGCGGCCCCGCTGCTGATGCCCTTGCTTCGCCCTTAAACATGCTACAATCAAAGACATTTACCAGTAGTATACTAACTAGATAAAAAAAGGAAATCAGTACAACACAATTAAAATTAGATAGGAACTTTAAAACCTTTCAAAACTTTAACTACCTAAAATTATCAATCAAAATACCGTGTAATAAAATAAAAATACTAAACAGACTAAAACATCTACATATTAAACAGACTAAAATTCAAAAAAATTATACTGGACAGTTTTGGCAGATCTTTGGCATTAAAATTCTAGCTGAAGCCCTTGAGCATCAGCATCAAGTTGCAGTCTTGCACTGTCGTTTTCAGCTATCATTTGCGGAGCATTGGCTTGCAGGCGAGAGGTCTCTGCGTTCATTTTAGAGGCCTCCGCCTGCATCTTTAGTGCTTCTGCTATATCCTGATGAAAGAGGAAAACAAGTTTAATATACTAATAGTAGTTCCCCACCACTTGAATTTATAATTACTGACAGAAATTACTTCGAGGCACTTATTTTGCTGACTAAACAAAACAAGTCAGCAAACGCAAATTTGGCACTCTCCAACTGAGTGCCAATTGGCTCTCCTGAAGGTCTTCGAAGTTAAACATCTGTTGGAATGATTGGTATTAATAAAGGAAAGATTACGAGGCAATATCAAACGGATTTCTGAACTCACTCTTTCTGGGAGGAACCCTTGCTGGAGTTGATTGGTCCATCTCTTGCTCAGAGTCAGGATTGTTATCAGGAGCAGCAATTTCCTCAGCATGCCCAGCTGGCACAGGAACAACAAGGTTGTCGCTTGTTGTATTATTGAGGTCATCTGAAATAAGTTATCACCACAAATCGCTGATTGAATGTGTATATTCACACTTGTGACAAAGACTTACCATTGTCATGCACTACATAGATAGGAACTTCACCCCCATATACTTTATGGGCCTCCATTACGTCATCGACAATGTTACCATCAGCAACACCACCAGAGGCGAACAGATCTTGCACTTCCTGTAACACATTAAATAAATAACGTGAAAAACAAAGTAAAGGCCCTCGTTACATTAAAACATCAGCCATAGATTTTGAAACTTACATGGTTCTCTGACAAACCATCAGCCAGCTCGGGGGCACCCTCAATATAGTTGCGCCCACAGAGCTGGGCCACATGAAGCTCTACTGGCTTTAATGGTACACGGGCAGATTCCCTATTTCCCGTTGCAATACGGCCTTTCCTTTTACTTCCTCCCTTTTTTGAGACATGGGTCTTTATATCCCTCTACACCTGTTTGAAACCACGATCAATTACAACCTCATTACAACATTCCATTTAACTACAATTATAACAATTATTTAAAAGTAGTACTTACGTCATCTGGACTACTAGACTCCATAATCATGATGTTCGACGACCATAGATTGCTGACACTGAAGGAGCAGCTGGCCCCCTCCTGGCTAGTTGAAC